GTGATGAAAGTAATGAGGCTATTGAATTGGCAGACTTGGAGACAGGCAGATGTGATGCGTCTCGGGTTTGATCGAGAACAACACTGCTCTCTGAGACGGTTGCCTGTTTTCGACAATCCGGATCATCGAGTTCACATGAGTTGAATCTGCACGGCCCAGTGGTCCGCAGTCCTATTGGGTCTGAGGGGCAAGTTAGTGGGTCAGGCGATAGTGGAGGAAAAGAACTAGTTGTGGGGCCAGACATATTACGCAATGCGCTGGGTAGGTTGCCACGAGTCAATAAGTCCCCGACCACCACTGGCCGATTCCGAACCGAGGCTGGAAGTAGGCTGGAAAGAGTGGAGATGGTAGAGCAGCTTACGCCCTCCAGAGAGCGATTCGAAGGAGAAATGAAAGAGACAGAACGGCGCACACCGATTCGGGACGCCTCAGTAGTAGTAGAGGAAGAGGAAAGTGAGGAAACCGATTTAGGCGTCAGAGCAGATGAAGGACATATGGCAGCAGTAGCAAGTGTATTTCCGCCGATTACTCCACGAGATTTCAAGAAAGGCTGAGTGTGGGTAGATGAAATTAAGACAACAAAAGAATGATAAATCAATATACTGAAAAGAAGCATAGCCAAATGCGTACACACTTCAAGATTAATATGATCCTAGTTAGAAAAAACAACCTTCGTTGACAAATAACACATATTTTTTTATAAAGTCTACCCATATTCATGAAGATAGGATGGGAAATAAAATATGCATCTCCATGGGCTCAGAATTTGTTAAATGAAAGTTTTAGAAGATTTGTTTACGAAAGTATGGATGATGGCTTTCTGTCAAAAGGATGCTTGTTAGGTAGCGAAATTTTGCCCGTCTGCAGTTGATAGTAATATGGAGTTTAAATTGCGAATGAAAATCAGTTTGAGCTTCTGAACTACGGACCATGCTATATAAATTAAAAATAGTATTCTTAGGCCGTATCTAATATTTAAATCATTGTGTAAGAATCAAGCCATGGAAGAAATATAAAGTATGTATAGACAAGCAAATGCATAATTAACTAAATGCAAAGTCGGATATATTTATTAGTCGAGGCTCGTGGTCTTGTCTGCTCATAACATATTCGTTAAAGGTTGACATTTTTCAGGTAACTGCTTGAACCATAATAGTGATTTCGCATGTCGAATGATACTTGAAGGTCTCCAATTAATTAGTTATGCAATGAACTTAAAAAGTAAGATCACGAGAACTAGTCCATATGAATTCAGAGGTTAGTCTTAATTCAAAATAGAAAGTGTACACAAAAGGATCAAGGTTTTTCTTGAAGGAATGCCGATGAGGAAATCCAAATAGCAAACATTAAGGAGTTAATCTATACTGTATAAGTCTGAACAAATTTAAAGACTTATGACATATGATCTTAACTCATTTAAAAGGAGGACAGGTCAGTTATAAATGAACATGTGTAGAAGTCTAATCAGTAGGACCAGAGGAACAAAATCCCCATTAAGTGAAAACATATTCCAAGATTATTTATAAATGTAACGTAATCAATTCCAACCTGTTTAAGACCACGCGATGAATAGGTATGCACCGATGGAGCAGATACAAGCTCTGCACGTCTTGTTGGGGTCCATTCTGTTGGCCTTTTGTTGATATTGCAGTAAGTTGGAGTAGAACTATGTAAAAATCAAGATGATTATTTGGACAAGCAAAAGTGTAAAATGGAGGATTTCGTTGGTATAATAGTGAGGTTGCTTCAAATGTAATAGATAATTATATTAAAAAGGTTTACTTCAAGAATCAGGAAAGTCCAATATTGGATAGAGCAATGAAATGTTATAAGGATTTATGTCAATGACAGGAAATAATGAAGATATTTTATACATATTTCCAAAAGCTGATTATAGCATCAGTAATTAAATAAGCCTAAGAGGTGAAGGTAAGGCTAAAATAAGTAGATATAAAGTGTATATATAGCTCAAGATAAAGCCAAATCTTGTACCAAATATTGAATTAATTGTTCAAAGCTCACTTAGCA